GAGCGTGTGCCGGGAGGTGGCGAAGATTTGGCACCGACATTGCCGCATCGGCTCCCTGAGCCCTTGGAGGGGCAGTTCCCAAATACCGGCACCTCGCTTTGGCACCCGGAATATTTGGGAGCGAGGTTTTAAGGTGATGCAGGAGGAAACACAGTCTCATGGTTAATGCCCATGGAGGGGCTTTGTCGTGGCTTTGCTCTGGGACTTGGGGCAAACTGCTGACTGTCCCAGCCCTTTCAATCTCCTTTTGGATGAGAAATAAAATCCTGTATGGATATATAGGAGATCTGGGAGCAGAGCTGCTTGGCCAGGTCACTTGTGTTCATCAGAACATTGCACCGTGGAAAAAAGACATTTATCAGACAGAGCAGGCTGCAGAGCATCCCCCGGTGATGCTGGTACGCTGCGAAATCCTGTGTATTCCTCAGGCAGGGTGAGATGAGAGGGAAGCCGGTAGAGTGGCCGCGGAGAGCCACCGCGGCTGCTTTGATCCCACTCCGGAGGGAAGGCGGTGACAGCATCCAAGTCCCTCTGCACTGCGGGATGGGCAGCACTGGTGTGTGCCTCTTATCCATTTCGCACCCTCTCCCTCTCTCCCTGCTCTATTTTTTTTTATGACTCCTAACTAGCTGTTAATTTTCTACTTGGGGATGGCCGGATTTCAGAGGAGGACAAAGCGAGCTGAGCGTGTACGGTTATTCATAAAACCGCTCGTAAATCTTGGGCGTCCTTTGAAGCGGGACATGGTTTGGAGTAACCCTTCCCGGTATCGGCAGAGGTGGAGAGGAGCGGTGAGCTCCCCTTCCCTCCCGTGGGAAACTTTTATCCTCCTAGAAAACGTGCAAGACATCGCTGCGTAAATCAGATGGAAAAAAAATAAAATGATGCTTTGTGACAGCAGCCCTGTGCAAGGAAGGGACAGTCTGGGTGCGAGCACCTGGTGGGTTAGGGTTAATCCTCCCTCTTGCACAAACTCCTTGGACTTGGACTCTCCGTGGTTATGCTCCAACCCAGACACCCAACAAACACCCGCAGCCCCTGGCTGGCCGGGTGACACTGGGTGACACAGGTGACAGGTTTGTTGGTGGTGCGAAAGCACGTGGCTTTTTTAGTGCACCCAGAGATGCAGGGCTGTACCGAGCCTCTTGCTTCCTCTCCATCCCAAACTCCAGGTGCCGCCACCCTTCGGCCTCGCCGGTCTGTGTGTCCTCGCTTCCCACACTCCTCGGAGAGGGCGTTGCAGTGGAGGAGGTGTTGGGAGGTGGGCAGGGAAAAAAATTCCTTTTCTAACAAAGCAGGGCAGGCGGATGCTCCCGTTTTCTTGCCAGACCGACCCTGGGAGTACTGGGTGTGAGCTGTGAGCTTGGAGAAACCTCTCCCAAAAGCACAAGAGCTCCCGAAAGGGCAGCGTCGGGGTGCAGGCTGAGAAGGGGCGCTGGCTTTCACTGCCGGGGAGCTTTCCTCCCTGCCGGGCTGCGGGCAGGGAAGCTGCAGGACCGTGCTGGGCACAGACCCAAGTCTAGAGGTCAGGGTTGAAGAGCACTGACAGCGGGTTTCGGCGTGACGGGTGGGAATAGCTCTGCGATGGCCTCAGGACTGTGCGCCGGTGACAGCTTGAGACGGCAACGTGGGCTCCAAGGGCTGTCCTGACCGTGTCTGCAGGCTTTCCTTTGGGTTGACTTATCCTTTTTTTTTTTCCAGAAGGTTTTATAAATGACCATAAGGAGCAGCAGGGTGGGGGGAGCTCAGGCACGTCTCTGTCCCTATGTCCCCAAGATGACACCTAGGGCTGACCCTTTGAGCAAGCACGTGGAGCAAACACGCTGGAGCAGCGGAGAGCTGCTTTCTCGGCTCCCAGGGTGGCACTGGGGGGAAAATGATGGTTGAACGTCATGGTCACACACCAGAGATAACACCCTCGTGTCTTTCTCCTCTGCAGCGTGTCCGAGATGGCGAGCGTGCTGTCCAGGCGCCTGGGGAAGCGCTCCCTGCTAGGCACCCGCGTCTCTGCCCCCGGCGCCTTGGCCGACGGGGAGCTGGTGGCCACCCAGATCCCCGGCTTGCAGACCGACCTCAGCCGGACGTCTGCCTACGCGGTGCCACAAGAGGATGGATCCTGTGTGCCGTTGGCGGAGGAGAGCAGCCAGGCATCCACGTTCCCCAGCCCCGACCGGCGGCAGCTCCACACGGGGCAGCAGGTACGTAAGGAGGTTCCTGGGGTCCTTGACTGCTGGGATGTGCTTCAATGGGTGGCTTGGGGTGAGAGAGAAAGTTCCTGAGGCTCTCCTAATATAAGGTGCAGTGAAAATCAGTAATTAGCAAGAGCTGTTAATGGGTGTTGGCGTTAGTGCTCTTGGCACTGGCCATGCCCAGTGGGTTTGACCACACCAGCTCAAGCGGAGATCTGTCTCCTCCAGGAGATATCTCCAATCCTGGCCAAAAGTGAGTGTCCAGAGAAGACAGTAAGAAGACCCGATGCTGCCCTCCAGTGTTCTGTGATTTTTTGAGGCAAAGGGAGATGGTTTCTGTACATTTTGTGACCCTCAGTGGACTTCTCTTCCATTAACTTTTCCTGTCTCCCCATAACCCCGTGATAACATCTGAAGGCAAGTGGCAAGGAGCCCCCGGCTTAGTGACAGTGATGATGATCCTTGAGGCTCAGGCTTCAGAACTCAGTCTGCAGCAGCTTTTTGCTGCAGGGTTGAGGGTCAATGCTGTGGTAGAGAAGCTCTTAGGGAAGAGTGAGGTGTGATGGCTTATCCAAAAAAGACATCCAGTCATGGCGGACCCTGACATTTCTTGTGCCCTGGGCTGCTGGTGCTTCGGAGGGCTGTGCCTTGGCCGGGATGTGCCTGGAGCAGGGAGCAGCGCTCGGTCTCCATCCCACCGGCACAGTTCCCATGAATGCCTGGCCAAGCAGCGCTGTCCAAGGGGAGCCGGGAGCTGCTGACGTAGAGCCTGTTTCTTGGCTGCTACCTGCAGGACAGTAAAACCTTTTCTGGGCAGAGCTTGTGAAATGGAGTGTAAATAAGGCCCCTGTTCGGTTTTCTGGCTCCTCCTGCCCCGCGTTTATTGACCACGGGACAGTGAGTGTTGTTTTCTCCTATGTGCTGTGGAGGATTTTGCTTGCTCACTTTGCTGCTGGGAATGGCATAAAAATAGTGATGGGGTGCCTTCACCTCCCAGCGATAGCTGGAATCTGTGGTGGTGGCTCTGCAAAGCCGAAGATGTTAGCTCCTCATGTCATGCATGGCTCAGGGGATGGCCCGTGTGGCTCACAGGGAAGCCTTGCTCCTTGCTTTCAGCAAGCGGGGTCAGGATCTTCTGTGTCCTGATCCTTATGCTGATCCCCTTGACCCTGGTTCCGCTGTAGGTGGCTTTTTCCACACTGGTGTTGCTGCCGGAGGTCCCACCTGAGATGGTCTCGGAGACTCCTCCCCAGTCAGGGAATGGGGGTGTGTGTGTCCATCCTGAATCGGCTTCTTGATACGACACCCTTGGCACTTCCATAGAGAGATGTTCCTGTTCCTATAAATAGCTGGGGACACATGTAGAGTCTTTTGACACAGATACATTTCCATGAACAGAAATAGGCTCACGGGTGGCAGTGGTGGAAAGCTGCACATCAGGAGGAGTTTGGGACACTATGAAGGAGGAGGTGAGGTTTGTACGTCTCCTTCCTCTGCCTGGAGGAGCCGAGATGTGAATTCAGGATCACTTTGCCCAGGAAACCTCTGTTCTCCTGTCTCCCTCTGGCTTTTAATCCCTTTAACCACGTGCTTTGCCAGGGTGTGTAATAACCATGGGAGTCCTTGCAGCAGGATGGCGTGAGAACAAAGCCGAAGCAGACAAATTCATTGAAGAAAAGCCCACCCAAAGTCACAACACTCAGAGAGGTGGCTGATACCCGCTCAGGAAATTCCTCAGTTTGAGATTGCTGGAGATGGGGAGCCTGTGCCTGGGAAGAGCAGATCTCTTGGTGGTGGGGTTGGGATGAACCCTGGCCACCTCTTTGCTTTGCTGTGACAGCAGTTTGAAGTCCAAGCCCTTCAGGACAGGCTCTGCCTTTGTCCTGAAGCCCTCTGTGGCCCCCTCAATGTGGGAGGAGGACGAGGGAGGATCCTATGAGAGGCGAAGGCTTGCTTGTGCTGGGCAGGACACCCCCCAGGAGCAGCAGGATGGCAGGTGACACTGACAAACCGCTGCTTGTGTCATTTTCAGGTCCTCGTCACCTACAACGGGCGGGAGTGTGCCGGTCTCATGGAGCAGCACAACCCGCTGAGCGACAAGGCGAAGGTGCTGCTGCCGGAGCAGGGCTTGCAGGCGTGCTGGGGGGCACAGGATGTGCGGCCGGCAGCGCTCCAGCCCCTCACCCTGCCTGCAGCCGCCGGTCCCAGCTCTGCCGAGGTGCTGCAGAGATCCGTGTCCAGCAATATCGATGTACCCAAGAGGTTTGTGCCCTTGGCTGGTGGTGTCTCAGGTGGGAGAGGGGCTCTTGGTGGCTGCAGCAGCGCTCGTGTTTGGCTTACACCAACAGAGGGAGCGCTGATGCTGGGGATTTATCTGCCTTCCCAGTGCAAGATTGTCTGGAGGATGGTTAAATTTAGGATTAAGGGGATTTTTAGGTTTTTTCCCTCCAAATGGGGAGAGAACATCCTTCCTGGTGACTTAAAAATGAATCAAAGTTTATGGAGGGAAGCAGTCAGGGGGAACCTGCCCTTTGGGTGCCTGGTAACTCCCTGGGTCATGCTCAGCCTGCTTCTCTGCTTTTTTCTCTGCATGTTTCACACCTCTCCTCTCACGGTGCAGGAAGGCTGATGCTGCGGTGGAGATGGATGAGATGGTGGGAGCCCTGGTGCTGCC